CGAACGATACGAAAGTGCAAGATGCTTAAGACCTTAGTACTTATAGGTGAATTATGTTTACGACTTGTGAAACTATCATGCTCATCATAAATATTGACTAAAAATATTTGTATTCACAGATTGCAGTAATGCCAAAGCCAAGTTATTTCATCGATACAATCGATATAAGGAAACAAAACAGGACGATAAAGTGGTTGAAATAACGATTGACGAGCGAGGACGGGATTTCAAATATTTAAATCAGCCTATTTTCATCGCCAATTATCGTTCTTCATTTTTTCATTTTTCTTTTCATGTTTCTACCTGTTGCCCTATAAACGATAGATAACGGACGCTATACGGCGGATATCGAACATCTGCAGAGATCAATGGGCCCCTTTGAGGCCTGCAGCTATTCTAGAACATTCCTTTTCCTATACCTCGCAATTTCCACTTCGGCCTTGATTTTCCTCGTCTCTTATAGGCCCTGGTAAGTATGGTCCTTTGAGGGTAAGAAGATTTGGGCACAAAGTACCATAAAATTAGCGCGAAGGCCCATGGATAAAGCTATACTTGTGAAGGGGGAGTCCCATAAATGAAACGTTTGACCTGAGGGACACTCTAACTTTAGCTGTCCTAGCAATAACTTTGAAGTAACTGCTTTGTCTAATATCTTGCCAGTCTCACGATGTTTATTTAATTCTAGTGCCAAACCAAAATTCGAGTGTTAATGGCAGACAATGTTAATAACAATATATAATCTAAATTAATTAATAGTTGCAAAATAAAATATGTAAAAAATAATAATTTTCCGGCTCCTATATGAAAATTTAAATTCTTAAATGTATAAATCTTAAATCGAAGATTTTGAGACCCTCAGGATTCATTTCGATATGCAAATAAAGATAAAAGGAAAAGAGACATACAAATTAATTTTCTAAATAATTGTTAGCGTTTGAAAGTCTGGCCAAGAAGTGGTGAAAGGGGACGAAACCTTCCAGGTAAAGGACTTAGTCCGATATTCGAAGCCGTTACTTATTTTTATGATTGTCTTAAGCATTTCCTATTCCACTGTCTATATCATATTTCTAATCCCTATTGTGTACAGAAAACAGGGACTTAAGCAAATTATTCTTAAGGTGAATTTAAAAATATTTAACGACTCTGAATACCGATCTTAAAGCCTCTAACAATTCGGGCCTTGTAAGTTTCGTAAGCCCGAATTTATAATCGTTTCTAAGTTATTCTCAGTTGACAGTTTTTAATCTCAGTTCTTAACTGCTTATCGTATATTTATGTGTTTTGTGATATATGATTGATGAAAATNATGTTTAAAAATATATCCTCGATTTTCGTCAATCGTGTATCACGAAATACATAAATATGCAACAAGCAGAGAATTAAGAACTGAGAATTGAGAACTGAGAACTGAGAAACGACTATAAATTCTAGCCTAAGCCGCGAATTTTATCCCTTAGTTTAGTTACTGGCGTGATTAAATCGAGACAAAAAATTTTTTAGCGCAAGCATGAGTGGGCCGAAAAATTGACGGGATAGTAGAAACAGAGAGAAACTTTCTCTCTGGTAGGAAGAAAAAGATAGCAGGTACCAATTATTATATCGAATCAATAAATAAATACTCGCAGTTACTAATGTTGACGAATGAACGAATAAAAAAATTGGAGTTGGACCTATTATTGCTACATTATGGACCTAAAGGACGGTGCATGAAGTGGGTAAGCGGGTGGTTGTCAGAGGAAGGAATTGACATGCCTGCCCCATCCAACGATGGGCAGTAGAACCAGTCTCTACATAAGTCATTGAACAGTAGAATCAATCTTTACACAAGCCATTGTAGGTAAGACAGTTATTGATATTCCAGGCATTTATTCTTTCTTAAACAGCAGTAAGTAAGATAGAAAGTGAAATAAAATAGAAACCTTGAATGTTTTCAGTACTTTGAAAAATTAAAAATCATTTCATCTGATGTCTGTCCCATTTGCAGTTCAAATTACTTAAAGCTAAAAGATAATACTATTTTACTTCATTCCATATTTTTTTTAAAGCGGATAAACTCCGAAACGACGCGATGTGATAGATCGTTCATGTTACCCGCAAAATTGACCAGAAATATGAGTTTACGCATGGTGAAAATCTGTGGGGTGTGTTATTACGCAGCTATTTATAACAGCCAGTCCCATGCACTTCCGTGTAACGACCATACTGTTTCATTCATTAATTATATTTTGCGTTAAAAGAAGGAAAGTTAAGAGGTA